CGTTTCTGCAAACGGTTGGAAACGATAGGATCGATCGAATCGCTTATTATTATCCTCGTCACGCTTTTTCGTCCTCGCGATCCCATTCGAGCCACGGTTTTTCTCGTTCTTTTCACGCTCTCGTTTGTCAAGGGATCTTCGCTTCTCAAGAGATCCAACACGCGACGATGATCGACCACGTTTCACGGGGCAATCGAACGACTTCATCGAGTAAAATGAACAGGTATAAAGTGGTCGGGTTTCCCATCGTTTTGATACGAAATTTACATTTCGATCGATCGGTTCGAAGATTCAAAGGATTGATCGATCAATCGCTCGTGAATTTCGGATTGCATTCCGATTGGTATTAAAAATAAGAAATTAGAAGTAACTTATGTCCCACGAATGTGTCCTCTTGTTGTTTTGATTATTATTGTTATTATTATAACTAAACTGTCCCGTGGACATTGATTTCAAAAATATGTTCATTATCTCATTAATTATTCATCATTATGTATTAACATGATTTCAAAAAAATTACTTGAACTGATTTCTGAGCAGTCTTCTTCAATTTCTTTCTCTCTCTCTCTCTCTCTCTCTTCTTTCAATTTCACCAAGTGGAAAATTCGCAAAATTTTTCTCACTTCATCCCATTTCATTTCAATTCAAGTATTTAGAGATTAACTTTCAATAAAAGTCCTATCTTAACTGCATAATTAATTTTTTTTCTCTCCTCTTTATGTTTATGAATATTATGATTCATCCATATATATATATATATATATATATAATAATCTGTGTAACATTAGTGTAACACTGAGCATTGATAACATTGATGTTACATTTATATTTTCTGATTTATATAAAAACATTGTTACATTGGGAATTTTCTGTTCTTTTTTTTTTTTTGATGAGTATTTTTTTTATAAACAAATAAGCATCGAAATAGAAAAAGTCAGGATACTAAAGAGTAAAGCAGAGGATTCATTCGTACAGAAATGAGAAGAGAAATATTGTAATTAGATTATTGCAAATGAAATAATACTAATCGAATTCCAAATCTGCAGATCGGACATGCTTCTCCTGTTCTAAATAATTTTTAATAACTGTTACAATTGAAATTCATTGGGTCGATTATTATTATCGATAATTTTTGTCATTCACTGTTCGCATTTCTCCGATTTCAAATTTTTCGCCTAAATGAAGGCAGAAATTGTCCTTTGGGATGTTTATATCAATGTTACGAGCCGAACTTTTCATAATGAAACAATTGACGTAACATGGATCATACTGATAGATCATATTCGTGAGCCTCGACTTAAAGATCGAGGCTTAAGTCGCTTAAATCGACGAGAAATAAATGTTGATTAATCATGAAGTTTCGAATAATTTTGCGCACATGTAAACTCCTATTTGCTATTTCGTATGCAACAATCCAATAGATGTATATATTATTACAAGAATATTGTAAATTGATAAATTAAGCTCCGCTAATTCATAGTTCTGCGAGCAGAAAAACAATCGCAAGTGTCTCTGTTAATTGTAACCATTAAGTAATTAAAACAGTTATATACAAATATACAAAATATACTACTGAATATGTTTTATGAATTTAATATAGTAAATTTTTCGCCAGTATCCTTAAAATACAAGATCTTTTCAATTTTCTGAATTTTCAAAATGTAAAAAATCTCTGAAACAAAATCTCCCTAGATGAAGGTTCAAAGGAGGAATCACTTTGAAAAGTACGAGGGATAAGTGAAAGTTTACATTGAAATCGAAGAAGGGGGAGCAACTGCAGAGGCCATAATATTTTACACTATACATCTTTGCTATGATTATCTGTTCGATTCGAAACAGATCGAAATCTTCCGTAAAAGCGAAGAAGAAAAAAAAATAATAATAATCTTGGGAGACAGTGCAATTCAGTTGAAAGCTAATGTAGAGTATTTTTCCACAGAAAGAAGGAATGGAATAATCCTTCCAGCGTGAAGAGGATAATCCAAGCGCATCATTTCCATCATCATTCGCCACATTCATCCAGCGTTACATCGAGATACTTAAACGTAATTATTGTAATTAACACCGAGTTAACGTGTTGCCCTCTGTAAATTCTGCCCAGCTCTTCTCTGTTCCATTTCATTATTCGTGTGCCCCCCTATTTCACTTCGTATTTCCGTTCAGACTTACTATACGCGTGTATAGCAAGGATAGAGGCGAATTGGATCGAAGTAAGAATTCAGTATTACAATCGATAAGGAAGGATGTAGCTCCATCGAATCTGAACAACTGAATTCTTATATTGATGCAATTCGTCTCGGTTAATCTCGAATGATTTCGTGTCTGATGCTTTGCCGTAGCTCGACATTTATACACGGAGAGAAATTTATGCTTAAATTTACTCGTCATCAGTATCAAATTTACACACCAGTGTTCTGATCATTTTGAACGAGACGTTGAAAGAGTAAATAATTTCGCTTCGTATGACATGACTGGAGGAAATTTCCACGACGTTGTTGGTAAAGAAAGTATCGATAATAGCAGTTTCCTGAATTATTAGCACAGAGACGAGAAACAATTCTATACACTTGTACGTATTTCATTAAATGTATACATGCCCGAGATATTATCTCGAAAGATTGAAACCTAAATAGGCGCTAGGAATATTTTAATGAAATTATATTAACCTTTTGCACTTCGAAACAATTTTTAATATAACCTATCAGC